ATGGAAGTAGCCAAAAATGATATCCCAGACAATGTTGGGACCTACTATATGCCACATTCAGGAGTCTGGCGTCCAAATAAATTTGTGCCACTACGCTTAGCTTTTGACGTTTCCTTAAAACAAAAGGCACGCCTCTCGCTTAACAACGTTATCTATACAGGCGAATCCTTCGCAAACAAAATACACGATGTATCAAATTGAGTCAATTACCAAATCATAATCTAATGCGACATAGAAGAGGCATTTATGCAGATACTGCTACATCATGCTCATAAGGGCGGATTTTTTTGGGTAACAGAACAAAAAAACTCCGCTTACAAGAGAAATTGCCTCTCATCCATAGGTGGATAATATACTCCTCAAAACGAACAGTGTTCAAAAGGCGTTTAGGCATGAACTTGCGCGAGTATATTTCAACTTCGCCCCAAGTCAATGCCGCTAGACCAGAAAAAGACCGTACGCAGGGCCAATAAAATTTCTTAGTGTAAACCACGATAGCAGGATGTCTATACATTGAACATAGATATTTCCATTAAAGAAAGAACCAAACGTGACATCGTAAACCAATACCTCTGTGTACGACCCAATTGGTATGGCGGGAACACTATTAATTAAACTAAAGTTCCTAATGGGAGAAATCTACAACACAGGAGCAGAGTGGGATACAACTATACCCTCCCATTCAGCTCAAAAATGGAATGAAAAGTCAGCAAATAAATGATAATCTGATCTTGCGGCGCGGTTTGGACCCTAAAGATTCTGTCCAATTTACTTTATGGATATTTTATCACGCTAACAAGATGGCTATCGTTTCTCGTGCGTATCTGCAGTGCGTCAAAATAAGAGAAGTCTCGCGACTGATAAGCAATAAAACCTGACTAATTCTCAAAAAAATGGTACAAAACCTTAACCCGACTCGCATTACTTGGCATGCTTATGGCTACGAGATAAGCACAAAACACTGAAAGCTCTATGGGTGAGGATATTGAGAGCATAAAAATAGACCGCAACGTGGTTATCCGACGTACGAAAATAAAATCAGCAAAAATCCTCACGCCTAACCGGAGAATTCTTCAACGGCAATCAAACAATCTGTACTCTCTCGAAATTTGAAATGGTGTTGAGGTGGACAACTAGCCAAACAAACATACAAATTTCGAGATGTTATTCCTCGTTCAATTCGAACAGTACAGCGTAAATCGAAGTTGAAAGAAAAGCAAAAGCAGCAGCAAGTATTGGTAAATGTCTGTCGAGCAGCGCGGATCCTTGCGGCTACCAAAGTATGTTAGCTCGCGGTCTAATACGCTTAAAATACCTGGGATATATGCATATTATATTTTTTTTAAAATATATATGGGCAGAGTTAGCAGAGTGGTTAGTGCTCTACGTTCCCAGGATCCATTTCGGTGAGGTCACGAGTTCGATACCCTACTGAGAGATAACTCTTGCCTGTGATTCCAGCGTCAGGCTTACCCTCAGGGTACGCAACAAGCCGGTTGAGAAACACCTCGTCACATCAACATGAGTAAACGTCCAATAAAATATACTCGCAGAGCAGACCCTGTGTAAGCGGGAAAATGCGAAGGATTATATATATAACGTATCAAATCTGACCTTAAAAGAAGAGCGCATAAATGGGCTTTGCAAATCACTACTAGTCCATGTCCGTATTTGCAATGATTCTAGGCGAAATAGAGGTCCAACAGCACCAGTCGCCTATTATCCAAGCCCTGACGGCGATAGCAAAGCTAGAATTGATCCTCAGCGTGCTTGCAGCATTAGCTAGGTAGGACCGCCTTGAACGTTTAATGCCATTTCTTTAAAGCCTGCTTCGACACGGAGCTTTTGCGCACGAGCAAAAGGAGCGCACCTATCCGGAAGATACCCATGTATACGGACTAGGTCGCTTGCACAAGTCAGTTTTCGCGCCTGAGCCTATGCAAACGCTGTCTTTCTGAGCGTAGAAAGAATGCGA